GAATTTTCTCTTTCCTCCCCTGGCTTGGTGAATTTTTCTTTTTCGTGAACAGAGATTGAAAAGATTAGGACTTTTTACTTCAAAAGGAAGCCTCAAAGAATGGACTTGCTGAAATAAGACAATGAATGCTGTACCATCACATCGAGCAGGTTATCCTTAGCAGAATTTCTGACCGTCCATTTTAGTTCTTCATCATTTCTCTAAAGTATCAGGTGCTAAACTAACATTTGGGAACCTACAATGACAGACCACATGTAAGACAGCTCACTATTTTTTCTAGATATTGTGGTTTATATACACTTGAGGTGTAAAATTACCCACAAAAAAACAGCACAACATAGTAGGTTTTCTTCTACTACCATTTTTCTGCAGTTACTGAGATTTACCCACTTCTACTGACTCAGATAACAAGAACTGAGCACAAAAACTTAGCTTCACAGTGAAGGACCAATGAAACTAGCACGTTTTCTTTCATATAAACTCATGTCTTAAGTACTGTTAAAAATGGTTCATTAGAATGGCAAGGATTGCTTGACTGAGATTACCATCCACATAAAGCTAATAAAACTAATCTTTAGAGAGAACTGCTGTATTGTCGCTGATTTAAATAACATCAGTTACTCAAAATCAAAGACCTTCCCACATTTATAGAACAATGACATTTCTGAGTTACTTTCCAGTAAACCAAATGTTCTTCCTGGTTTGTCTTATCAAACACTTAATAGCGGTACTGAATTTCAAAGCAAAAAGGAGAAGAGAAAAAAAGGTGAATTTATAAAACAAGAAAGAAAGAAAACCTAAGAAGGCATCATAAAAAGATCTCATTCACAGACTTGGCTAAATGTAATAATGAAAACTGTATTATAAACTATAAACGTTAAGAACATAAGGATATCCATATCAACTGAAATGCTGATTTATTTTTGCTCAGCATCCTTTTTGCAAGAATCACCAGTTACAGATGATTACAGAACTGACAGAAGAAATAGGAAATATCTGTAGTTGACCAAAGTTCTGGTTGAACAGCTTTCTTAGCTCATGACAATTACTGGTAGACCAGGTTCCCATCCACAACAAAAAACCTTAGTATCCATTTGCCATCATGTAATTTCTCTTGTAGTAATGGAGTATCAGGAGCACACAGAAAAGACAGACCAATACAACTATAATGCCATGTACTGTAATCTTGATATCTTCATATCTTGATTTAATACAGATTCTGAATGGAAGTTAAGTAAGAAAGGACAACTAAAATGCATTTTCTCTATTTTATGGATGTTATTTTATTTTTTTGTATATCCTCAAGCAATTTCCTACTCTATTGCTATAATAGAGAAATTCATTTTTATCTTTATATACATTGTAAAATTATAATCTGAAGAGACAGTGATTTCATTATGCGTATCCCTATAACCTCAGAGTTTGTGTTTAAATCAAGTTGCATATTAAAAAAATAAACAAACAAAAGATTATTGGATGTTTTCACAGTGATATTACACTGCTTATAAGCATTATGATTCCTTTGATTATTTAATAGGTGTGGAGAGAAAAACAGCTCACCTTATGTCTTGTGTGCTCAGAAGCAACTTGTAAAGCAATTAAAAAAAGTAATGAAAACTCTGTCCATATTAAATTTAATATTACTGAAAAATCATTGCTCCTGGTCTGTGGAAGGCCTTTGATATTGAGCACTAAATTCAGTCACGTGACATAACTGTAGTGCTGGTTTGGATAAATTAATAAACCTTCAGCGTATGACTTCTCAACCTGATCAGCTTCTTTGCATGGTTTCTGTATAAAGGAAAACTTTTTGATTTCTTAAATGTCCACGACACTTTGCAGTGAACAGAACAAGTGAAATCCATACAAAAGATAATATGTAATGTCTTAATTTTCCAAAAGTTTACTAGAAATGTTTCCCTTCCCTACATGATATAACTGAAAATTTTGATTAATTGTAATAATGATTTCTGAAACAAGTAGATAAGTTACTGAGGCAAAGACTCGAGAAGGAAAGGAGGTTTACCATATGCTGTCATCTTGCTAAGCAATTTCAGTCATATGTCTTCAAACAGAATGAGAAGCTTAGTGATGGTTCAAGTTAAAAAGTATATGTGAAATGCTGCCTCGGAAACCTAAATCTAATTAATGCTTTGTTAGAAAAGGAAAATTTCTCTTTTGGGGACTGGTTAAGATACAACAGAATAGCAATGATCACGAACTAGGAACAGAAAAATGAGTACACGCACATTCTGTGATAGGCCACGACATTCTCTGAAGAGAATCATGAATGTACAAGCAGAGAATCATGAGTATACAAGCACTGTTCCCAGAGAACTCTCACTGGTTTCTTTTCTTCGTCTTGAACGTTGCCAGTAGTACAACAGTTTTAATGTGACATAATTATCGCATAATTATTGATGTCATATTCCTTCACTAAAATTTATGGAGAGATGCACAGAGAGAATACTTGAGAAACGTGCCATTCAGAGGCTTAAGAACATCTTTTGGTGTCTCATCACCTCTGAGTCAGGGTGTCCGATGTTATTTATGTGAAGCTAGCCCTAATTCTGGGGGACATAATTGCTTACAATTTTGAAATGCACACAATAATATAACTAACAGTATCAAATATGCATAATAATTTATGAATGCAAACTTGACTGTAATTATAAATCCATGGCTTTTTATGCACAAATTGTAACAAATACAAGGTAGAGCCTGTTAATGATCTCTGAGTACATCTATCACATAAACTGTTATTTCAAAGAATGTACAGAATTTTGATAATGTTTGTCATTCAGATTTCCTGTGCAAGAGGATTTTAAAATCTTTCTGCTTCCCTTATTTCTACCCTGAACTCATCAACCAGAAAAACTATTCTGAGTTTTATTTAGATGGCGTTAAGCATCCGAATTAAAGACATTTCTATTTGAACTGAATAGAAAAACAAATACCCAAAAATGAAATAAAGTAATTCCTACAGGTCAGTATGTCAATATCTACTTCATTAAAAAAAAAAAAAAAAAAAAAAAGCTAAAACAACATGAAAATTCTAATAATAATATTGCCTTAGGCAAAAGCTTTTGGCACTTCCTTCTTAAAAGCAATAGTATTTCTTACTCCTGTAACTTCAGCCAACAGCAGCTTACTCAAAGGAATCTCCATTCCTATTAGAATGACTTGTTTTACAAACTCATTCTGAATCTTTCCTTTTTTTCCAGTTCCACATAGATAGAAAATTCAAACATAAACTTCAAAAAAGAAAAAGCCCTCTCCTTAAGATAACGGCTAGCATAGGCAGAAGAACAAATGGATATAAACTGTCGCTGAAAAAATGCAGATTGCAAAATACTACAGAGTCTGTAGGCATTAAAATAAAACAAGCTCTGGAACAGCCTTTGGCGGAAACACTGGGGGCAAAGAAATAGCAACTCCAATTTAGTATTGGCAACGCTTATGAAAAGAGAATTATCTGATGCAATTCCCAGGCTAGCAGAGCACTGGACTTGATGACCCAGAGATCCCTTCCACTCTCATATTCTTTGTTTGGATAGATGCAGATGTTCATCTGTTTTTCAGCCTCGCTGTGGTTTCTCTCAAGTGAAATTTAAATGAAAGTTAATATAATTTTTGCAAGTTTCAGTCAGAATTGCCCTTTGTAAGAATTGTTAGGCCTGCAGCACAGTGAAACTTCTCAAAGAATTCTGAAAGCTTTACTTAAAGTTGGCTTACATTAAGAAGCATAACTGTTCAGAGAAATGAATGCCCAGCAGGGCACACACCAAGAGAAGAGGTAACTGATCTACGGATGGGGAAAACAGGAGTGAAAAATAGAAATAACAGGTCAGGATTGATAGAATGGTAATATGAAGGAAGGGAAGAAAGCAAGACAAAAAGAAAAGAAAGCAAAAAATATTAAGATATAGAGAAAGTATAGGGAAAGAAATATCAGCAGCATTCATACCTTCTTAAAAAATAGCTATTGACAAAAATATTATGTGAGGTAGCTGAAAAGACTCGATACAAATTTGAAAGGACAGGTTTTGTTCAAGAGGAAGGTCATTGTTCAGGTGACAAGCTCACACAGTTCTCCTCCCTCACTCAAATGGCTGTGAAGGATTCTTTTTCCTACACGTCACAATACAAACATACTGCATAAAGTTCTGTATGTGACCCAACATAGAGAAAAGCCTCTCAAACTCAGAAATGTAAATCTAAACCATTGCTTAAAACAATAGTAACATTTAAGCTTGAAAACAACCTGGCATTCCTTAATACCTTGCTTAACCTAAATATACTTTTATGTTGCAAGTAACTTAAATGTATCATAGTAACTATAGAAAGCTATTGCTAATACATATCAGCCAGATATGAAATGTTACAGAAATATATAGAAAAACACTACATTTTTTCTGATTTTGAACAAATAAGCTCTCTGTGCAATGTTTAATTATTTTCAAATACAGGTATCTTTGCCATTCCTATCAGTCATAAAAGCATGCAAAGGTCAGACAAATACTTTACCTTACATAGAACATCGTGGTCTGTTTCCTATCGCTTCCAAGTTGTAAGGTTTACACTTGTTCATTTGTGATACAGCTACACTTGTCTTGAAAATAAAGGCTTTAAATAAATTCTTTGAACCTTGATGACTACAGATGTACTTCTTCTAAATGAAACCCAGAGTCTGATACATTCTAAGATACACTGATTCTTTGAAAATACAAAAATTCTTTATGTTGGCATCTCAATTTCAGTAGATATTTAAAATGCATCATGCAAATTGTATGTGGCTGCGTGCAGACATGATCACATACAGAAAATTTTTAAAATCTAGCCCTTTCTTCACATGAATAAAGAGGATAAATATTTTTCCTAATAAATGCAGATACGGATTTTCAATAAGCACAGAATTATATTTGTTTAAGTAAATCATACAGGTTGACTGGAAAACAGGTATTCTGCATCAGTGTGATTTTCCCTCTGTACATTTGCAGGTATTCTAGAAATCCGAACAGTGGCAGTTGGAATAGTGGCAATCAAAGGAGTGGAAAGTGAATACTTTCTGGCAATGAACAAGTCAGGAAGACTCTATGGAAAGGTATGGAAGCTAAATTCTCCTCAATCTTGTAAGCAACCACCACGCCAACTTCTCCAACAAACGTCATCAACTATCTTATAAAAAATGTGTCACATTTTGTGTGAAATAGTTTGTCTGAACTAAAGTCCTAAAAAGTTAAAATGTACCCCACGTGTGTATGACTTTCATACTCACTTTGGAAATTCAGTTATTGGAGCTTGTGTACTTTTTTAAAACGTGAAACATTAACAGGGAATATATAAAGTTGAAGAATTCAATACTCAGGTTTCAGAAACATAATTTGTTATCACTGTTAATGATATTCTTTGATTATTACTAATATATCAATTTGTTTAATATTCATAGTATTAAAAATATGTAGCTTGCGTGATGAACCTTTTTCTCCCATCTCCCCCAGTCTAAGTATTCTCTGACTGCATTTAAAAAACACCTGTACTAATTTTACTCTAAATTATTTATTCTCAACAGAAAGTATGCAATGAGGATTGCAACTTCATAGAACTAATTGAAGAAAACCATTATAATACATATGCTTCTGCAAAATGGACACACAAAGGAAAAGAGATGTTTGTTACTTTGAACCACAAAGGTGTTCCCATGAAGGGTAAAAAAACAAAGAAAGAACACAGAGCATCCCACTTTCTTCCTCTGGCAATATCCTAATCATACATGATCTGTACAGAACTAGTTCCAGCAGGAAGATTATTTTTAAGAAGATTATTTGACAAGGTATCAAGAGAGGCTGGAATACTACTGAGAAACTGAACAAGCTGGACTTGCGCATTTATGTTTATTTTTAAGAGACTACGTGGAAAAGATTTGAAAATATACACAAAACCAGATTTCCTAACTAAAAGCTGTAAAAAATTCTAAAGAGTTGTACAATCATTATCTTAGTCATTTTAACTGGGTAGTTTCTTAAATTAATTTACCCTGAAGAATAAGTCATGACTTGATTATCTGATAATATTTAATTTAAATGAAAAAAACACACACACACACACAAAAAAAAACAGTAAACAATCTGCTTCTTAAATATGGCTGCTATAATAATAATAAGCAGATGATAATGTTGTGTAAAATATGTCAGACTTTAAGGCTGCTGGAACGAGTTGTCAGATTATCAAGTCAATAGTAAGTGTGGAGGCTGAGCAGTATTTTAAATACTTCCCCAAGAAGCCGCTATCCTATACATAAACTATATGATCAGAAAAATATATAATCTTGTAAATGTCTATTGTTGCATTCAGATAAAAGAGTTAGTTTGGAAAAAATAAGTTTACTCTACTACAAAAATGTTCCTATCTATTAATGAAACAAATACTTAATGCTGCTCTAAAAGATGTTTCAAAATAGTGTATGTAAAATAATAGGAATAAATAACGTACTTCATCTCACTTCTCACAAAGTAACAATTTATATAACGACGAAGCAAAAATTCAGACATATTAAGGTATTTTATGTAACATATCCTATCTTTTGTATAATTCCTGTTAGGGCATACAGCTTTTAATATTTTTTTTTTTCCCAACCTTATACATGCTTTTTCTGTTGTTACAGCATTAAACTTTATTTTAAGTTGTATTTGAACTTTATTGTTTTAAGTTATTTAAATGTTATTTATATAAAAAAAAAACTTATTAAGCTGCATCTGTTTCATATGCTTTTAATTCTAAAGGAATAACAAAATGGTCTGGCTGAGATGCAATGAATTTTTTTCTGTGACCAGACACAAAGTCTAGTACACAACCCTCTTGCCAACATACGTTGGACGACAGACAAAAACGACAGCCTGCAGCAAATCGCACAATGGACATCTCAAAGGAAACAATGCAAAAACATAAAAAATCTTTGCCACACGCTCAAGTTGATTTAATAGCAGCTCAGAGTTATACTAGGTAAAAGAAAGTTGCAGAATAAGTCCTCAGATGGTGGAAACGATCCTCAGAGAACAGTGTAAGAACCCGTATGTCTACTCTGAAAGACCAGCCGAGATCCAGGTGACGTGATGAAGAGACACATTACTTTTCTAGGTATCAAAGTGTTTCAGTAAGCCCTATATGGCTGAAAAGTTACTTCATCCTGTTCAGTTTGCCTACAAGTTTTCTCAGCATTGTGATCTGTGCTCAAAGATCACCCAAATTTAGCTAAAACAGCTGTTGCACAATCATTACCAACTTGGGATGGAGTCAAGTGGAGTTAATGGACTTAAGTGCTCTACTTTTCAGCACAGGTATCTAGACACAATCTTTTTTTTTTCTATATATTGAGACACCTTCCTTGTAACTGCACTCACACAGAACTGCCTGCAACAATTCTCTTTAAGAAATATATATATATCCTTTAACAACTATTTGCTTATTAAATACTATAATTTGGAAGTTACTGATGGAGTTTGACTTAGTATTATCACAAGTTGAAGCGTAGATGTGAACCAGACCATGCAGAAAATTTGTCAATACAACTACATGGGTAAACATTCACTGTGCTTCTGCTGCATGATCTATTGCTTGTTCAGGGAAAACAACAGACTGTACTATCAAGGAATACTTCTTGCTGGAAACTGTCTGCACTTCTCTGTGAATATATTAACACTGAAATAAAGCTCCTATTCACAATTAACATTAATATACTAGCACAAGTTTCTAGATACAAATTAGCTTAGTTGAAGCTTTGAAATAAAAATGGAAAAAGCAAAATCTCCCAAAGATTGTGTTTTAAAGCTCAGCTGAAGTTTAAACTTGTGTGCAAGTATGTATGTTCATATGCAAATATATGCAAAATAGTGCTTAAATTAGATACATATCGGTTCTTCTAAAGATCTTCTGATTATGTTGTTCAAGAATATAAGCATACAGTCAAGCAATTCTTGAGTCCCTAAGGTAATTTCCACGTACTGCTCTACGTTTCATACAATGGATTATTACACTACCATCCTCATTAGGTCAACCACAGCTGGTTTGCATTTTACTGTTATATCTGACATATAGCTACAGGTGAATGGTTCAGCCCAAGCTCAAATCCCTGCAGTAGCACAGTCATGCAGCCTAGCATGTTGCAGTACCTTCCTTATGCTGACCTAGCAGTGGAGGTACTGTAATAGAGAAAAAAAAAAAATCAGATTTTTCCCTTTTTTTCATGTTCCTTTCAATAATTTTCTGGCACTCTAACAAACAGTCTTAAAGGCTAAAACACATCCTAGTTTGTTCTATTCCAGTACAAAGTGGAAAAGATTAACAGAAAACAAGATGAGATCCATCCAGTGTATCAAACTTGAGAATACCTTTAATTTAGAACTGTCTTCTAAGCAGAAATCCAGAAACATTTGAACAGTCTTACATAAAATAGAGCTGTAGAATTTGATTAGAAAAATCTGTAAACCAAACTGACTGCAAATTGATGGATTTGCAAATCAGTCATATAGCAATTAAAAGCCAACAAGTGTTAAAGCCTGAACTCTGTAAATAACTTCACAATACCTGGTTGAGGAAAGCAAGCTTGTAAATCTCAAGCATTCCAGATAATTCTAAACCTGCTTACACTCCAGATGTAAAAAATAGGTCTTCTCCAACTCTGTTTAGAAGGCAGATGCTAGTTTACCAAAATAGGCTTCTTTCATTATGAAATGCTTTTACTAAGAGTCCTGGCACTTGAGAAGACTGACTCGTAATATAGAAGAGAAAAAAAGGAATTAAACTCAGAGAAAATTCCTTCCTGATGAGAATGAAGTATAATGCATATACTTGGCACAAAGTTTACAATGTTTTCAAACTGAAATGAAATCACAAAATGACAGAATGGTCGAGGTTGGAAGGCATCCCTGGTCCAAAACCCCTTACTCAGCAGGGCCACCTAAAGCAGGCTGCTCAAAGCCATGTCCACGCAGCTTTGGAGGATCTCCAAAGAGGGATACTCCAAGGAGAGTTCCATTGCTCAGTCACCAGAGCAGTAAAGGTTTCTTGATGTTAAGATGGAAGATATGCTTCAGTTTGCACATCCTGTCCTGGCACTGGGCACTACTGAAGAGATTAGCACCAGCTTCTTAGCATCCTCCTTTCAGGTTTGTACAAATATGGATAGGATGCCTTCCAACTTTCTACTTCTCCAGGCTGAAGGGTCTCAGTTCTCTCACAATTTATTATTACCCTGGACAGCATCAGTTTTGATAGACATAAAGCAAGTCATCAGCTAGTGACTGCTGAATTATCATGATTAATGTACTGGCCTTTGAAATTTGGTTCTGCTATAAATTTCACACGTAACTTTAAGAAAGCCATAGTCAAAGTCCTACTCCCTATGTAAGTAAAAGAGGTACAAGCCTGACGCATGCTGCTAATACATTAAACATATTTCCATGCTATTTTTAAATCACCATAATAATTTTAGCAGGGCACAAGTCAGCAGGGGGGATATTGCTGAATTTATGCCTAAATTCACAGTGATTTCAATCAACAACATGGGACACCATGTTGGCATGGTTAGATTGCTGTCTGTGTTTAAGCTAGCTAATGAAATTAGCTTGTTTATGTCTAACTGAGTTGCTGTAATATTACTGCATAGCACAGCAACATTACATGAGACCTCCAGATGAAATTGAACATGTGGAAACCATGGATGCTCAATTCTTGTGTAAGATACAACACACTGACAGCTAACTTGCCTACACACCCTTTTCCTATTGATTTTATGGGACATTACACATCAAAAAGGATCTGGGCCAGTAACAAGCATCTCAGTGTTCATAAATGAGAACAAGAGACTATTCAACAAAACTGAGAGTGCCCTGAGAGCCTAAAGGACTGTGGTAGAGCACAGAATAGGATAATAATAGGAAAACTAAAATAGAAAGGCTTCTCCTTTTATTATATTTTCATAGGAAAAAATAAGTCATTCTATCTTCTTTTGCAAAGAAGCATTAGGACCACAATAGCTTTAGTGACTTCAAAAAAGTACTGTCATTGAAACAAACTCAGGCCAGAAGTGTTACTATAACCAACAACTGAGGTGATTTATTGAACCTGCTCTGCAAATAACCACTTTCTACTGAGTTTCATACACTTATTTTTCATGTACTAGCAAAATACTGTAATGACTGAACTTCAAAAGGCAAAGGAAACATGATTATACCAGAAGGAAACCATTGGAATTTATAAAAATCATGCAAATGTTTTCCACTGGCTTTTGGTTTTGTAAAAACATATTATATTTTAAACCCACATGTTCCTCTGACGATTGTCTTCAACAACATAATACACTCTGTTTCTAAAACCTGTACTGCAAACAGAACAACAAACAAAAAATGGATTTTATAAGCAAGAATTTCCTTCCAAGACCGTAACACAAAGACACTGACTTTCAATTTAAAAGAAACAGTGGTTCTTTTTTTTTCCCCCTTCAGTTATACTTGAAAAGAACTACTAAGGAAAAAAAGGAAAATTATTCAGAAAGCTAACAGGCAGTATATAATGACAGTGAACCAGTTCATTTTACTAAGCCACAGAGGTGTGTAGCCAATCCACACACAGATTCTGCAAAGAATTCATTGGTAGAGAACAAATCCTTCAGTGAGCTCTCAAGAGCAACTCTTGAGAGAAAAAAACTCTTCAAGCTACGGCAGGGGAGATTCAGGCTGGACATTAGGAAATATTACTTTTCAGAAAGGGTGGTCAGGCACTGGAATGGATGCCCAGGGAGGTGGTGGAGTCACCGAGCCTGGGGGTGTTCAAGGAAAGGCTGGATGTTGTGTTGAGGGACATGGTTTAGTGGGAGCTATTGGGAATAGGTGAACGGTTGGACTGGGTGATCTTTTAGGTCTTTTCCAACCTTGGTGATTCTATGATTCTATGATTCCTTGTTGCTCACAGTGCATTGCACCCATAAAAATTCACACAGTTGTCTTACATCTACATTACAAGAGCAAGTTTGTGGGGAAATGATGGCACATGCTAGAAGACTTCCTTGCCTCTGATACTTCTGTAATATTTCACTAATTTGGGATTCCCTGAGTACATCATGCTCCAAACATTCTCTCCTTAACATTAATAAGTATGAGAGAAGCCT